TCGGTGTCTCTCTGGGACTGCGCCCTCTCCTCAGAGCCTCGGTGTCTTTCAGGGACTACGCCCTCTCCTACCTGTCCTTGCGCGCCTGCATTGGGCTGTGGACCGCCTTCCTGTGCATCGTCCTTGTGGCAACCGACGCCAGTTCCCTCGTCTGCTACATCACCCGCTTCACCGAGGAAGCCTTTGCCTCCCTGATTTGCATCATTTTCATCTATGAAGCGATAGAGAAGCTGATTCACCTGGCGGAGGTCTACCCCATCCACATGCACAGCCAGCTGGACCACCTCAGCCTCTACTAGTAAGTTGTTTGATGCCTTTCTTCCTGTTACTCATCTCTTTACCTTTTCCTTACAGAGCCAGGGCCTCTCTCTTTACCACGGCATGGTAGTCGGGCAGTTTACGCTGCTCCCGATGGAGCAGCATCACTTTCCCTCACATTCCTGCCCCGGCACCTTTCATGGATCCCTTTCTTCTGTCCAAACAGTCTTCCTTCTCCTCTCATCTCTCTCTCTCTCTCTCTCTCACTCTCTCTCTCTCTCTCTCTCTCTCTCTCTCTCTCTCTCTCTCTGTGTGTGTGTGTGTGTGAATGACTGAGTTTGATCAGGGTTGCGTGCCTGGGCATTGGGTGGGGTTATTTACGAGAAAACAGACCTTTCTAGCGATGGTTAGATCACTGAACAAATCATCTTCCTCTTTTCTAGGAACTTACTAAGTGCCATAGTTGTTAGGTAGGTGTGCGAGCCCTTTCCCCGTCCGTGGTGGGAAGCTGACAGGCCCCACGTTGTGTAAGTCTTGTGCCTGCCGAGAGTTCACAGGTGCCATGGCTATGTCCTCCCTGGAAAACAGCACTTCAAAGCGCTCTGCCCCAGCTTCCAGCTCTTGCATTCTTTCCACCAACCCTTCTGCAGGGTTCCCCGATCCTCGAGGAGGTGATGATGCTTAGGGCCAGCAGCTCAGCATCAGTGATGAGCAGGTTGGACCCTTACGAGTCTCTGCAGTGAGCACTGCCTGTTTGAAAATCTCTGACAAGGGCTGAGGGCAGCGTTAGTCGCTGGCGTGAACACACACAATCAGAAGGCAGTCTGGCAGGCACACGTGTCCACTTTGTAGACAACAGTGTGACTCCACCTCACTGCTGGGCCTGTGAGCTCTCCAGGCGTTTGAGCAGGCTCACATGGCAGGGTGTGAATTCCTGCTGTGGAACAGGTCTAAACTGAGGCAGACGGTGCTTGGTAACCCCGAAGCAGTCATGCCACTGTTGTGCATCTTGTCCAGTGGTTCGCTGTGTGTAGCACACGGCTCCCCGCTGGTAAGACGGTGGATGCCCTTCTTCCCTCAGCCCACGCAGAGCACCGTCAGCACCGTGAGGGCCAGCCAGCAGGAGGAAGTTCATGCTTTGTTTTGTTTTGTTGTTTTGAGACAAGGTTTCTCTGTCTGGCGCTGGCTGTCCTAGACTCACTCTGTAGACCAGGCTGGCCGCAAACTCAGAGATCCCCCTGCCTCTGCCTCCCGAGTGCTGGGGTTAAAAGTGTGCACCACCTCACCCAGCCCCAGCTGCTCTGTGTTTTTGTTGTCGTTTTAATGGAGTCAAAGACCTGCATTTAGTGTCTGTTAGGATGTGCGGGGCGGTGTGTATAGCTTCAGTTAGGGAACTGTGTTGGACCTTTGGAAATGAGAATCCAGATGTGGATGAGGAGGTTTGGAGGCCTCCAGAGGAGAGAGATCAAGCAGCAGTGGATATGTAGTGGACTGTGGAAGCCAGAGAGCATGGCTCTTCCTGGAGTCTGCCTTTTGGTTCTAAGTATTGAAACACAAGCAGGCTGCAGGTGCAGCAGAGAATATTGGGGCCACGGAGAAGAATTCACTTTTTCAGGGAGACACTGGGCAAATCACCAGGTGGGAGTGCAAACTCCGAGGTGTGGAGACAATCGCTGTGGCATGGAGGAACGCTGAGGGAGAGATTCCCTGCAGGCCAGGAGTCTCCTGACATCGTGAAGGCTGGGCACCTCTGCTGCCTGGACGTCAAGGCACCTGGCTGGTTTCCCCCGTAGTTCAGCATTCTTTAGATCAGCTGGAAGTGAGACATGAGAGCTGCTCGTGTTTTCAACCACCTGGGAATCTGCACTTTCCAGTTACTTCTTTTCCGTACTCATCTTCCCCAGATGCTAACATGGGCAGAGTGAGGTGGGGGGGGTGCTACTCATGCACCCCTCCCAGTCAGAGAGCTACAGACAACTGAGGAGGCTGAGGATGGGAGAGGTAGGCTTCCCCAGGGAAGACTATCCAATTGGCTCTGCAATACCAAATGGTCTGTCCTGAAAACATGCACATACAAGTCACAGCACATGGATTAAACAGGTTACATTTACACATTTAGTAATACCCACACAACAACTGTGTGAATTTGAAAGGGGAGACACAGGAGGGCTTAAGAGAGGAAAGGGAAAGAAGGAATATAATCACAAAAAGTATGTCTTTTTAATGCCACTCCTTTCTTTAAAAAAAAAAAAAGACAGTAAAGGTCAGTGCATGGCTAAAATAAATTTTTAATGTTTATTATAGTTACCTCTCTTTTGAGATCTAAATTTTAATTGTTATAAAATACATGGTACAGATGAAGCAAAAATGGTGGGAATAGCTAACAGTTGACTGTACTGCTGCAAAGCATGCTGGGATTGGGGGCCAACATGGTGGCTGTGGGACAGTGTGTGTTACCTGTATGGATGAAAGAGAGGTGGGTGGGAAGCGATTGCAGCAGCTCAGGCTGGGTGGGCAGAAACGGCTGTGGTCCGGGGAGGTTGGCAAGAATAACGCAGTGTCAGGAAGGTGCCACCGTTTAGACAGACCCGTGATGGTGGGCATGGGAGACCGAGATTGCTGGAAGTGGCTGAGAACTGAGCGCAGCCTCAGGGCGGTGCTGTGTAGCTCGACTTTCAGAGCACAAGTTTAAGAAACAGGAAGCCAACACGAAGTGTCCAGAGTTTTGCTGACTGTGTCATGTGCAGCACGGGCTGTCCGCTCCCCCTTATCACACCTAATGCCGGGGTGGCGAGTGGAACTAGTGGTGCTGATGGTGGCCCTCACGCAGTGGGACCCTGCTCTGGGGTCTGAGATGTATGAGAGCGAAAGGCCCACCTCATCGAGTCGAAGCAGCTCTCGGGCTGGCTGCTCCCCTCAGGAGCGCTTCCCTCCTTCCCTAGCTGCAGGTGCGCGCTCCCGGAGAACCCCAGCAACCACACCCTGCAGTACTGGAAGGACCACAGTGTCGTCGCTGCAGAAGTCAACTGGGCAAACCTGACCGTCAGCGTAAGTCTGGGCGTGGCCAGGGCGCCTCGTGGTGACTGCTGGGTCAGAGAGGGACTTGTAGATAGAGGTGGGCGAGCCCTTTGCCAGCCCCTGGCAGTTAAGCTTATGCTGAATGGTGGCTCACGCTGCAGTCCTAGCACTCGGGAGACCCAGGCAGGAACACTGTAAGTTTGAGGTTATCAGGGCTGTAGGTGAGACCAGTCTGAGGCTAACAGGGCAGCAGTGTGGACCTGTTGGTGAGCTCCATTCATCACAGGCTTTGCTCACAGCTTCCTCTGCCTTCACCTTGCTAAAATTCTACATTGTATTTACTGACCATCTCTGTAGTGTCCTTGGAGGGAACAATTATCTGATTCACGTTTCTCACGAACCGCCTTCTTGTGACTGTTTCTGAAAACTGCCTTGGAATTCATACCGAGTTTATAGGTTACATTGGGGAAAAAACCTGGTGTATTTTTTGCGACCGTATTTGCGCCTCCAGCAGTGTGGCTTTTCCTGAGCTATTTAAGCGACTTTTCTGCTCTGAAGTGTTGTCCTCCCCATTCCTGTGTGCTCCTTTCTTAGCACAGCCTTCTGCGATATTTGCAGAATTTGCCGCTAATATGGCAGTGATAGCTTAATTGCATTTCTTTGTTTTATGTAAACACGATGGGCAATTTTTATTAAAAAAATTACAAAATGAATATTCTTTTTAAAAGAACAAACACAAAAGTTTAGTAAAACCCAAATATTATAACTTTTTCCTTTCAAAAAATCCTCTCGAACATCCAGGGAAAGGGAAGATGCTCCCCCTTTTTTCCCACATGCTCCCTATCTCCCTAACTCTTAAGGACACGGAGGGATAAAACTCTCCGTGGGCAAAGACAGAGCCAGGCTTTGTGGTACTTGAAGAATATTACATTCTGAGGATTCTCTCTAATGAAAATAATATCAACATGTAGGGTCTTCTCAGAGCCTCAGAAGAAAGGTTCTGATTTCGTGCCTCAGGGTCTTGGTTAGGAGCACGCAGGGCTCTTCCTGACAGGGACCTGCTGACCTGCTGTGGGGGCCCCAGCTGCATGGTGGCTGAGTGACCCTCCTGGAGGCCCGAGCCCCAGCACTCACAGGATGGCCAACCAAGAAGGCAGCAGCGGGTGTGGCTGAGCCTTCTGTCACTGAATGCCTGTTCCTGCAGGAGTGCCAGGAGCTGCATGGAGAGTTCGTGGGGTCTGCCTGTGGCCATCATGGACCCTACACTCCAGATGTGCTCTTCTGGTCCTGTATCCTCTTCTTTACCACCTTCATCCTCTCAAGCACCCTGAAGACGTTCAAGACAAGCCGCTATTTCCCAACCAGGGTAGGTAGCATGCTCAGACGTTACTTTAGCCAGGATTCTGGCCACCAGCAGAATCAGCCTCGCACTGCTGTGAAGATGGAGGGCACTAGCCACGCTGATGAGCTACTCGGGGCAGCCTCTTCTGGTGCCCGGCAGGCTCTTCTGACGACCGGCAGCCTCCTTCACAGCTCACAGCTCCATGGTGTGGAGTGAGGGTGCTTACAACCTTTGTGATTTAAAGGGCCGGGTAAGCTTAGGTGCTGGGAGGTTCTCCAGAGGAAACGTGTTTCCAGGACGCTGCTGAGTTCCGCGTCTCGGACTCCCGGGCACTTGGGACATACTTGGAGCGCACTTGGGGCAGGTGTGCTGCAGTCAGGTGGCTCTTGCACACTTTAACGGACCCAAAGCCCCTCCCCAGGGGCGGCTCCTATGGTAGTTTAGGAAATCCCAGCTGCGCAGCCAGCCTGCTCCCTACCCCTCTCTGACCAGCTGAAGTCTCAGGGTCCCTTGTTTCTGCCAGGGCCTTTGGCCAGTTGGAGCAGCCGGGTGACCACTGCTGCCGTAAGGTTTCTCTCCTGGGCGTGTTCACACGCCAGCGTGCGTGAACATGTCGGCAGGGGCTCCGATGATTAAAACCCGTCCTTAGACCTCGGTGAGGCTGCAGAGCAGCTGAGGGCGGCAGACATGGCCCCCGGCTGGGCGAGCACCTCAGGGACACAGTTACAGACGGCTGCGGCCGGGGACGGCTCTGCGGGTGAAGACTCCTGCGGCCACGGCTGGCCACCTGAGTTCGGTCCCTGGGAACCGGGGTGTCACAGAAGGGAATGTCCAGACAAGCCAGAGTGAAGGACTTAGACATGGGCACGTGGGGAAAGGGCAGCTGAGGACAGGCGCACTGTCTCCTCAGGTGCAGAGTGGGCAGCTCACCAGCTCGGGCTGACTCACGGTCTACGCACTGAGGCCCACAGGTTCAGTCTCATTAGCCCTCCGGGAGCAGCAGCAGCAGCTGTCAGTGCAGGCCTGGCGGACGTGAGCATGTGGTAGCGAACGGTGTGAACACGGAAAGTGTCATGGCGCACACTTGTGGTTCCAGTCCTAGGCCAGTGGAGACGGGTCCCTGGGGCTCGCTGGCAGCCTGGGGCCCCTCCCTCCCCGTCTCAGAGGAGGATGGTGTGCGCTGAAGGAAGTACCTAAGGTGACCTCTGGTTCTCCACACACGTGCACATACATACACACAGATCCACACACATGTGCACATACATACACACGGGTCCACACACATGTGCACATACATATACGTGCCCCCACACCTGTTTGCATTCACAGGCAAAGGAAGCAGACAGCAAGCTAGCATACGTCAAACATCTCCACAAGTGTGTTTTCTTGTGCAGATCAAAGTGTGAGGCTGTTTCCTGAGGGGCGCAGTTTAGAGCTTTGAACTCGGGAAACAAGGAGCCGTCAGGGGTTCGGTAGGAGAGCTTTTACCTTACGGCTCCAGAAGCCACGTCAAGAGCTCTGGAGGGCGGAGGTGAAGCAGTTATCTAGTGAGAGACGGCCACGTGGGCGAGTGTGGGGACAGCTCAGGTGACGACCGTGGGGACAGCTCAGGTGGTGACGTGGCCGAGTGTGGGGTGAGGTGGCAGAGTGTGGGGACAGCTCAGGTAACAGTCACACTCAGGTTCTGAATGTCGGCTGACAGGCCTTTCACATGGATTGGACACACGGGGTGTGGGGAAGACACGGACAGGTTCGGGTAGCACGGTAGACCTTGGCTAGACCCACAAACCTGGGCCTGTGCACCCCAAACCACACTCTTTAGAGAATGGTCGTGACCTTGCTCACGTTGGACCTCGTCAGAGGTCTATTTTCCGTATTACGTTTATACGCTGACATTTCTGTATTGTGGGCATTGCTTTGAGCACACTGAAATAGCTTTGTGTGAGTGTTTTTGCGTTGGTTCAGCTGCAGAATGTTTTCCTGAGGAACTATAGCTCTTGCCGGCACTAACTGGGTCCAACTGCTCTGGCTCTGTCTGCCAGGTTCGCTCCATGGTGAGTGACTTTGCCGTCTTCCTCACCATCTTCACCATGGTCGTCATTGACTTCTTGATTGGAGTCCCATCACCAAAGCTTCAGGTTCCCAGTGTGTTCAAGGTGAGTGACCTCAGGGGCCTGGAGCCTGAGTGTACACTGATCTCACAGCGGCGTTGTGAATTCACGCCCCGAAGAGCTGTGGGTGAGTGAGTACACGGTGCCCGTTTACACAAAGATGTGCAGGCCTGGAGAGGCGGGCCCTGGAGGAAGCTGGCCTGAGGCTCAGGGAACTGGGAAGGAGCAGGCGTGACCTATGACCTAGGGAGGTCTTGCTTGGAGATCAGGGCGCTTGCTGAGGCGTTGGGACATCTCTTCAGCCCTGTTTTAAGTTTGCTTGTCAGACTTACACAGACTGAAATGGTGAGTGGGTTACACACCCTCCGTGTGTACAACACCAGAGCCCAGCGTCTTCTCCCGAGTGAGTGAACACTGTCAGCTCTCTCTCCAACGCCTGCCTGACTGCAGGACACAGGGGTTTGTTTTTGTTTTTACAAAAATTGACAAATGTGGAACACGAAGCAGTCACTGGGAAAGGTCTGTGATGCACAGGGTTAAGACAAGAGTGGGTTTCTGGGACCCCCGGGGAGGCAGGGAAAGACAAGAGAAGGAAGTGGGAGAAGGTCAGAGAAAATGTGGCTCATGACGCGAAGAGGAAGCCGCCTGCTGCCCTCCCTCTCAGGCAGCCTGTCCGCAGCGCCCGCCCACGGCAGTCTGAAGGCGGCTGTGTCACTCCTCCATGCCCACAGGGGAAAGCTGCAGGCACCAGGGTTCAGACCCTCCGAAAGGAAGTGTATTGGCACACCGCCTGTTTGCCTGCCCCTCTCCGCTTTAAACCGTGTCCACAGCTTCTGCCACATACAGCAACGTAGTGGTGGTCTCCTGAGTGTTGCGGAACAGCGACCATATCTTTGTCTGACACAGCAGCATCTGCCCAGAGTCTCGCCTGCAGTTGCTGGACTCTGCAGATGGAGAATTAACCTGTAGATCACGGCTGCGACTGCTTATGATGTCGCTCCTGTTTTAGGGCCTTTGTGTTGCTTGGAGAGCTTTGCTACCTAGAACAGCCTTGCGAGGGAAACAGCTTCTAAAGCTTTTAGAACTCATTTAGCCCTTTCCAAATCCAGGGCTTGCCAGGGTTATTGAAGAGATTCTGACCCCAAGTGTTGTCACTACGGCAGCAACCAGATATAGAGCTCCTTCCCTGATTGCCGAGTTCCTGGGTGATCTGGTGCCATCCTCTCATCTTCCAACACCACGTCTTCCTAGACTGCACCAACGGTGGGGTCAAGAGTCTGAGCAAATGGTTTCTATAAAGCCGTCGAAGGTGGTCATAGGTCGGGAAGATTCCCCAATCTTTGGGCCTCCAGTGTCCAGTTGCTGGGTTCCTGTGTCACCACTCATGAGCAAGCTCTGGGCAGCCCGCTCACAGCCCAAGCCTGGGGCCTGCAGACACGGCGCACGGCTTGTCAGAGCCGTGGCGAGGGTTAGCTGTGTTAGTTAACTGTCTTCAGAAGTCAGTTTTTAAAACAACAGAATTAGTTGCTAATTATATTTTACTTGGGCTGACAATGAGATAAAGTTGCTTTCTCTGCACTTGGGGAATAAGTGGAAGGCAGTGTAGGATTAATGACTATTCCACAGGAAGCTGATAAGCGGGGATTGACTGCCAAAGGAGATTTGGAAAAAAAGGTCAGAGATTTCCTTAGGGGCTGCTGTATTTCATGTTTTCATTTGTTTTTCTAAGGATTTTTATTCAAATGAGGACGGAAGGAAAAGAGGGCTACTCTTTGAGTTTGGTTTCTTTTGGCCTGGTCTCCAGAGTGAGGATATAGAGGCCATGCTTGTTTCTCTCCTAGCCAACACGAGATGACCGGGGGTGGTTTGTTAACCCCGTTGGGCCCAACCCCTGGTGGACTGTGATCGCCGCAGTGATCCCGGCCCTCCTGTGCACGATCCTGATATTCATGGACCAGCAGATCACGGCTGTAATCATCAACAGGAAGGAGCACAAGCTAAAGGTGACCAGGGCACCGCCCCCGTCCCGGGAGCTGCAGCGCCTGGAGGCCTTTCCGCTGCTTTCCCACTGATCACAGAGGTGGGTGGGGGTGAGGTTGGAGTGGAGGCTGGCACCATGGGGCAGGAGCCTGGCCTCCCTTGCTCTCCCCTCAGACGGTGTGCAGGTGAGGGGCGGTTCTGAATCAGCAGCCGGGTTTCCTCCCTAGGTTCAGCTCAAGGCTTTGAGCCTGTTTCCCGAAGGCAGGAGTTCCCCGCTGAGGTCTGTCCTGAGCCTTCATGGTGGACCTTGAGTTTGAGGACCACTCAGGCTACGGTTCCGTTCTAACACTCGTGTTAGTCTGGTGCTGCCTGCCTCCCATCTCTTGGCAAAATCCAGAGGCAGCAAGGATGGGGAGACAAAACCAAGCAGGACCTGGAGCGGTCAGGGTGTGGCTTGTTAGAAAGGCTGACACTCCCTCAGCCGGAGGCAGCTGGGTAGAGAATAGAGACTGGCCTTGCAGGAGGGTCGGGGACTGCCAGTTTCTTCTAGGTCCCTCCTAGCTGTGAGGCTCCTTCCTCCCTATTCCCTGCTGGCTTTGGGCCTCACTGTTCTCTGGCCCGCTGCAGCCAGCTCAGTGCAGGTCCTGTCTCCCCGCAGAAGGGCTGTGGCTACCATCTGGACCTGCTGATGGTGGCTGTCATGCTGGGTGTCTGCTCTGTCATGGGCCTGCCTTGGTTTGTGGCTGCCACCGTCCTGTCCATCACACATGTGAACAGCCTCAAGCTGGAATCTGAGTGCGCTGCCCCGGGGGAGCAGCCGAAGTTCCTGGGCATCCGAGAGCAGCGGGTCACAGGCCTCATGATCTTTGTGCTGATGGGCTGCTCGGTCTTCATGACAGCCGTGCTAAAGGTACTCTCTCGTTAGCGCGTCAGGCAGGCTCGGAGGTCTGGCATACACGCGTGCAGACGCACACCCTGAGGGAATTATTCCTGTGGCTAGGACAGTTCGGTGTGCATGAGAAAACAAGCCTGGCAATTATAGGGTGCAGTACGTGGTCTTCTGGACTGCTGCCCTGCCATTTTCTTTTCTTTGAACAGCTGTCTTTATGCTGGAAGTCCAACCCAGGGCTTTCTACGTGCAAAGCAAGCACTGTGCTGCTGAGCTGTGCCCCCAGCCTCCTGGTCCCTGGGTTTTTGGGTTTGAGACAGGGTCTTACTGTGTGTCCTGGGTGGCTTAAAACTCACTCTGTAGAGCAGGCTGGCCTTTGGATTGGCAGGATTATAGTTTGTTTTCTGTTGTGATAGAGACCATGACCAAAGCAGCCTGGGGAGGAGAGGATTTATTTCCCTGTCTACCTCCCGGTGACAGTGCACCTGAGGGAAGTCAGGCCAGGAAGGGAGGCAGAACCTTGGAGGAGCGCTCTGTGCTGGCTCACAGCTCGGGCACAGGCGCAGCTAACTCTCTCAAACGACCGAGGCCCCCTGGCCCAGGCACGGCGCTGCCCGGGAGCCGTGCCATGGGCTGTCCTAGCTGAAGTCCTCCTCTCAGGGGACTCTTGTGTCATGTTGGTAAGACTCACCCGCACAAACACTGTCCACCTGCACTCAGACCCCACCCACCCAGCCTTGTCACTGTAAGTTCCTGAGGATGTGATGATCATAGAAGTGTGAAGTGTGTGTGTGTGGGGGGGTGTGCACATGACCATGTGTGTGTGTGTCCAGGTGTGTGTCCCCGTCTGTGTACGCACACCTGGGGAGGAAGGCTGGTGGGCCCAGACAGCAGGGGATGTGAGGTCTGTGACGTGCGGGTAAAACAGCTTTGATCCCTGCCAGCCCAGGCTGTTTATGGAGGAGGCCGCAGAGACAGAGACAGTACTTGGGAGAGCCTTACTCTGTTTCAGTCTGGACTTGGAAACCTACAGAGATGGGGCTTGGTGGTGCACGCTTTTAGTCCCAGTGCTCCCAGGCAGAGGTGGGCAGGGGTCTGTGAGTTTAACACTCGCCTGGTCTATATAGTGAACAGGCAGCTAAGGCCGCACAGTGAGACCCTGTTTGTCTGTCTATGTCTATATAATCTATATGTGTGTCTACGTCTATATAATCTATATGTCTGTCTGCGTCTATATAATCTATATGTGTCTACGTCTATATAATCTATATGTGTGTCTGCGTCTATATAAGCTATATGTCTGTCTGCGTCTATATAAGCTATATGTCTGTCTGCGTCTATATAATCTATGTGTGTCATATATAATCTATTTATGCCCATATGTATCTCTATAATCTGTGTGTGTATAATCTATATGTCTGTCTGTCTGCGTCTATGTAAGCTATATGTCTGTCTATATAGTCTGTGTGTCTGTGTATATCTATGTAATCTATTTATGTCCGTAGGTATGTATTTAATCTATGCGTGGGTGTGCACATGACCCGCACGTCTCCGCACCGCGTAGACGTGGGTGCAGACCGTGCTTCCGTGTCCCCTGCAGTTCATCCCGATGCCGGTGCTCTACGGAGTGTTCCTGTACATGGGCGTCTCTTCTCTACAAGGGATCCAGGTATCGCCTGGCCCGGCCAGGGCCCTTTTGTTCACTTCCTTCATTTCTTTCACTTGTCCTGACCAGGGAGGCACAGCCAGCTCCTGGGACACTTCTTCCCAGTCTTGCCTTTCGGCCAAGAGATGCCCTCAGAGACAGGGAAGAAAACATGGGGTGCCCGCACCTCCAGAACGGCCGGCCTCCGCCATTAAAGCAGGGGTGCTCTGCCCAGTTCCTGTAGACGTGAACACGAGATGTCAGAAAACAGCCAGCAACCAAACGGGGCCAGCAAGAGGCAGGGTCGGTTCTCCACCGGCCTGAACCTGCGCTGAAAGACGAGAACCAGCCACTGCGAGCGGTCCTCTGACCTCCACACACGGGCCGTGATGTGGCGGGGTGTGTCTGCCTGAGTGTGTGTGTGTGTGTGTGTGTGTGTGCGTGCGTGTGTGCGTGCGTGTGTGCGTGAGTGTGTGTATGTGAGTGTATGTGTGATGTGTGTGTGACTGTGTGTGTGTGTCTGTGTATGTGAGTGTGTGTGTGATGTGTGTGTGACTGTGTGTGTCTGTGTGTGTGTGTGTCTGTGTGTGTGAGTGTATGTATGATGTGTGTGTGAGTGTGTGAGCATGTGGGTGTCTGTGTATGTGAGTGTGTGTGTGATGTGTGTGTG